TATATATTCTGATTGAATGATATTTTCCAATAGATAACTTCCAAGTCTTACCTGAATTACAGAGGTACTGGGTATTGCATAAATGTCATGTCTGCGTATACTGTCCCTGAACCGCACTAAATTTAGTGAAGTCTTAACTTCTCACAAAAAAAGACAACTCAAAGAAATACAGTAATGGGTGAAATCCTTTTAATCTTTCCAGGGCCCATAGTGAGGCCTCCAGAGAAAAATATCAAAGGCCTAAATAGCTACCGACACCACTTTGAGTAGCTAGAGATACAAAGAGTTCTGTTTGGATAGTAAAATATTAAACAGGAGCAGTTAATACCTACATTTTTTATTCTTTTTTTCTTTTTAATTCCTTATAGCTTTCTTTTTGTTGTTGTTTTGTTCTGGTTTTTTTAAACCAATATTGCAGGTTTATATCTGGTACCCTAAAAAACTAATTTGAAGATAACATCATGAAATACAGAAACCATTGTTGAATTCCTATTACTTTGTACTGTTTCCAATGGTTTTTTAACTATTGTTTATCCTTTGAAAAATAATAAAATGAAGTAAAATTAGAGAAATAGTGTGCAGCAATGATGTCATAACTACAGCGAGTTCTTTCTTAGCCTCCTCTATCACCCGAGGTCCGTTTTCTTTCCACCAATTTTTGACACCCTCTAGATTTCACATGCAAAAGTCTAAATGAAGACATGCAGGGAGTTGAAATGATTTATACTTTGTTACTAATGAAAGCTTAAGCTTTTCTTTCCATTATCACTGTGCCTTTGTACCTTCGTGTTTACTCACCAAAAAGTCTTTCAATAAAGACAAGAGGTCCTTTCATCTGTAGTGCCCACTGTTATCTCAGCTAAGAGTCAGCTGAAGAACAGAAAGTTTCCCTCGTTCACACAGGGCTTCACTTTCTAGCTGACTGCCATTGTAAGACCCGGATGCACAAGAGCTATGCAAAAATTAATGACCTATGAAAGTCTGTAGGACCCCAATAGTTTTTTTTTTCTTGCCTTATCCTCATTCTCATAGATTTAGAAAGTCATCATGTTAGCTTCCTATCACCTTCAAGACAATTTTGTGGCTATTAGGTCAGCGGGTAGCAAAAGAGTATCAAAAATGGAATTAAAGCTCCACTGGCTTTATTGTGGGCAATCTTAGTACCAAAGGACCTCAACCACAACACTCTGTAACAGAGACACTCAGAATGTACTCCAATGACTCAGAAAAGAAGTGTGTTGAAGGGAAGATGCAAAGGGATTATATGGTGAATCTAAAGAGAAACATATATATTTAAAATAAGGTGGAACAATTTTTTAAGCTTCCTGAGGCATAAGAAAAACCTCAACCATTGGAAATATCCTCACGCGTGGTGCTTTCAAAGAAGTAAACCAAACGTGTCACGGGTTGCTTATAAATAATTTCTTACAGAGCTAACTAAAGGAACAGAGAACTCTCCATGCCCATGGACAAATAAATGTCTCAGGTGGAGCACTTGGGAAGCAGGGTCTTTCCTGTCTTTCTGCAAAAGCAGAGAATTACACTACACCTGACAAATTCCAGATGGCGCCATTCAAGTCCCACGGGGCTGCATTCTGTAGTGCGTCCAGGCAGTAGGGAAGCACTATCAATTTCAGAATGTCTTGTAAGGGTTAGTCTTGTTGCGTTGCTGAACTGAGTGTCTCCTAACATGCTGGATTTGTGGAATGCTAAGACATATGGAGGATTTCACCCCTCACCCAGTATTTCACCTTTCACGGCAACAAGTCACTACATTATGCCGCTGGGACACACACGTCATCCATTACTGCTGGAAAGGGGCAGGAGAAGTTTTACAGAACTTAGCTCAGGAGAGAGGAAATATCCTGAAATCAGCAATATAAGTACTTATTTTTATTTATTTATTTATTTATTTATTTATTTTTGTGGAACCGGGGATTGAACTCAGGCCCTTGCATTTACCAGGCAAGCACTTATTCAGCTGAGCTATCTCCCCACCCCCGTAGTTATTTTTAAAACACAGCTCAAGTCTCAAGAACAAGGCACCTTCCACAGTCTGATGTGGCATGCTGAGCTCACTGCCTGGTCCTCCCACTGTCCCTGGAAGACACACGGTTGTGTCCCAGATTATGTCTTTTCCTCCACATATACTTTATCTTGGAGTCAACGTCTGTCCTCACAAGGTAACTAGTGCTAGCACTCAACTCACCCCATGACTTACAGTTTCTCTTTGCTTCTTTCCTGATTACTCTCTTTATTGTCATCTGTTAAATTCTCATGCTTTTGCTGTTTTGTTTTAGATTTTTTTTTTTACAGTTTTGTATTCTGGGCCCGCCAAATAGCTTGGTGGATTAAAGCACTTACAAGCAGGCACAGGGGCCAGGGGTTCCATTGAGACAGGTATTGAGACTGGGCATGGTGGCGTGCACCTGTAATCCCAGCTCTTGGGAGGCTGTGAACAGGCGGATCACTACGAGTCCGATCTAGTAGTGAGACCCTAAACATCCTGTAGACCCTTCCCTAAAATACTGAAAAAAAAAAAAACAATTTTGCATTCGAACTCACCAAAAAATTCAATCTTTGCACTTACCATCTTTCATCTATTAAACCAAATAATTATTATTCATGCTTAAATCTTTTAATTTATATTGATTTACTTAATTGCCTAGGACTCTTAAGCACTAAGCTCTATGCTGATTGATGAAGATATGAAAAACAATTTCAAAGAGCTCCTAATCTAATAAAGAAAAATAACTAATTAAACAATTATAAAATAATAAATAAATATAATGATCAAATGTATAGGAAGAGTTAGCACAGAGAAAAGCCCAATTCTGTTTCAAAGAGGAAAAAAAAGGTGTATGGATATGAAATTCCATAATATTTTAGCAGAGAGATAAGAAACTTTAGTTTAGGAAAACTTTGTATTCCTAAAATGTAAAGGGATAATAAAACTAGAATTAGAAAAGTCATACAGGCCATTTCATGTGGGGCTTGTGAGACCATTTTGAGATGGCTATGATTCACCTTCTGAGCTAAATGGAACATGGATTTGAAAGTTACACATTCTGCTTTGTACTTCCGAATGAGCAGCCTGCAGGAAATGAACATCAAAAGGCAAATTGAAAGGTAGAAGACAAATTAAAGACTATTATTGCACAACTTCTATGTTAATAAGGCAGAATAAAATTTCTCTGCTCTTCAATTCTCTTTGAAATCCAAGAAGAATAATAGGGAGGAGGAAAACCAGTAAAGCAAGCATATCTTTGCCTAACCTAGATGTTCATGAACCTAAACTATCATCTATAAATAAGAGCTACCAAGTACAGTAAAAATTGCACCAAATTGCAGGGGGACAGGAAGTTTCCATTTTACTTGGCTAAAGACTCATGAGCTACATCATGCACCATGGAACTAGGGCAAAAAGGCTTCTACTGTGAGGCAGGTGTCCAGCTAGAGGGATGTCTGATCAAATCCCAGTGGACAGTACTATTAAGAAGAAGTTAAGAACTACCAACTCCAAATCAAGCTCACAGCAACTCACCAACTCAGTAACCCCAATTATCTGTCTGGAACTTAAGTTGCCATAATAGCTCATCCAATGCAAATATGAATAATTAAAAAGAATTATCATAATATATAGCAAAATATACCACACAAAGAAAGCTAAAGATAACAAAACACAGAGAAAAGATAATTGTATGAAGTAGATAAGAATTGTTAATAAATCTCCATGAAATTTAGAAAAAGAGGAGAGGAAAGGAAAGGAAAAGAGAGAAGAGGGGAAGCAAGGGAAGGGAAGGGAGGAAGAGACTGGAAAGGAAACAGAACATTTGGGAAACATAAACTTGAAGAAGAAATGTAATGATCAAGAAATAATTATAATACTCCTGGAGCTGAAGAAAGCACAGTTTTGCCCAGTCATAGAGCTAGTGAGTTGTAGAAAAATTTGAGAATTTCCCCCATCTTATCACTGTATACTTGGAAAAGAGGATCAGGTGGAAACAAGTAGCTATAAATATACCCAGATTGGGTATACAGAAGAAGAAACAATGAAAGGAAAAAAAATCCCATGTTCATGGATTTAAAGAATTCATTTTATTATAATGTCCATAATGCCTAAAGTGACCTAGTGATTTGACCCAATTCCTACACAAATACCAAGGAGATTGTTTCAGAACCAGGTAAACCAAACCTAAAATTCACATAGAAACTCAAAGAGCCTCACACAGCTGAGACGTCTAAAGCAAAATAAATACAGCAATACTTCACTTCCAAATATGCTACCAAGCACAAGTAAGCAAAAGGGGCAGTAGTATAAAAATAGATACAGCCTCAGAAAAGGAAAAGAATAAAGAACACAGAAATAAATCTACACAGTTTCTGCCCACTGTTTCAGTGAAGGTTCCAAGATAACATGACGGGAATGGATAATTTCTTTGCTAAACAATGTGTGCAAAAGAAAGAAGTAGGACCTTTCTCAGATGTCATGTGCAAAATCCAGCTCAAGGGGCTGGGGAGCTGGCTCAGCAGTCTAAGCACTTGCCTGCTCAGTGCAAGGACCCGGGTTTGATCCCCAGTACCACATGCTGTGCTGGCCCTGGAACCTGGAGTGCACTGTGCCAGACCCAAAACTGGGTGCTGGGGAGGCTGAGACAGGAGAATCACTATGGGTCTGAACTGCATAGTGAGGCCCTGTATTAAATAAATAAATAATGTATGTTAAGAAAATAATCAGAGTGAAGAGACAACATATAAAATGGGAAAACTTTGAAAACCACATAACTGATAAG